GTGTGTGTGTGTGTGTGTGTGTGTGTGTGCGCGCGCGCGCGCGCGCGGGAGAGGGGTTGTGTGCTGGGCTGTATGGGTGTGCGCGTGTGTTGTGTGTGTGCTGTGTACAGCGCGGGTGCGCTGCATGGGGGTGCATGGGGGCTCTTCGGGATGAGGGGTGTGCATAGGGGGGCTTTCTGTATGGGGAGGTGTGTGCATGTGCATATGTGTGTGTGTGTGGGTGGGGGGGCTCTTCTATATGGGGGAGGTGTGTGCATGTCCAGATATGTGTGTGTGTGTGTGGGGGGGCTCTTCTGCATGGGGGAGGTGTGTGCATGTCCAGATATGCGTGTGTGTGTGTTCTGTGCACAGTGGAGTGTGTGCTGTGCAGGTGTGTATGTGCTATGCACTGTGGGGTGTGTTCTATATGGTGTGGGCTGTATGGAAGGTGTGTATGTGTGTGTGCATGGGGACTGTTCTGTACGGGGGGTATGTGTGTGTGCATATATGTATGAGTGTGTGTTCTCTGCACAGTGGGGTGTGTGCTGTGTGGGGAGGGTGTGTGCTGTGCACAGTGGGGTGTGTTCTTTGTGGTGTGGGGTGTATGGTGGGCTGTTTTGTAGGGGTGTGCATGTGCATATATGTGTGTGTGTGCGGTATGGGTGTGTATGTGCTATGCACAGTGGGGAGTGTTCTGTACGTTGTGTGCTGTATGGGGTTTGTGTTCTGTGCACAGGGGGTTGCACGCTGTACGTGTGTGCATGTGAATGTGTGTGTTCTGTGTATGATGGCTGTTTTTATGGGGGGTGCGTGTGTGTGTTCTGTGCACAGGGTGTGTGTTCTGTATGGGATGTGTATGTGAGTGTGCTCTGTACACGGGGGGTGTTTCTGTAAAGTGTGTTTGTGTCCTATATTGGGTGTGTGTTCAGTATGGGATGTGTGTGTCTTCTGTGCACACAAGTCTGTTCTGTTTGAGGTGTGTACATGTCCTGTATGGGGGGTGTGCTCTGTATGGGGTGCGTGTTCTGTGCATGGGGGTGTTCTGTATGGAGAGTGTGTGTGTGCGCGTGCTGTACAGGGGGTGTATATCCTCTGTGTGTGTTGTGTACAGGAAGTGTGCTCTGGGGTGGTGTGCGTGTTCTGTACGAGGGGTGTGCTCTGTAGGAGGGGTATATATGTGCAGTGCATGGAGGGGGCCTTGCACATGGAGGTGTATTTGGCATCATGTGTGCACATGCATGTCGGGAGCACACCACCCATGCTGTGTCCAGACAGTCCGCGTGTGCCCTGTGGAGCCCGTGCATTGCCCGCTGGGCTTGGCAGGCAGGGAGCTGTGGGCTAGTGAAGCCACCCCGGCCTCCACCACAGCCTGGGCGCGCATCCAACTGCAGCGGGATCCGTGGCATTTCTGCACGGTGCAGCCTGCGGCGCGGGTCCTGCCGGGGCTCCGTTTTCTGGGTGACCCGCGTGTTTCCACGGCCACTTGTGCCATGAATCTCTCGTGTTGCAATGCAGGGGAGATCGGTGCCCGGGGAGGGGTGGCGGCTCAGGGACAGCTGCTTTTTTAAGCCTGCCTTTAATCTGCAGCTGTTTTAAATCCTTGCAGATGGGCCTGAGGGATCCTCAAAGGGCTGGGGGCGGAGGGCAGAGATCCGGCTCTGGCTCAGGGGATGCCGTGTGCAACGGGAACTTCCCCGAGCAGGAGGCAGAGGAGGATGCGGTGATTTGCCCTTGTCTCATATCCCAAGCGATGGGCTGAGCTCAGGCGCTTTGTTCCTCCTTGCTCCCAAGCCGGGCTCTGCTTTCTGCATTGTTCCCCGGCAAGAGCCGGGGGGGAGGGGAGCCCTGCACATCTGTACGTGTCTCCAGTCGAGGTTTGTTTCTGGGGCTGGCTCGCACAATAAGTATCTGGGAGACTATTTCAGCCATTGACATGCAAATATGCTCTTCCCAGCTCTTGCAGGGTGAGAGGCTGAGGGCTAGGTACAGAGTAGCATGCGTGTGTGCCTTGCACAGCTCCAGACAGCTCACGGCTCCTCCTTTGGGCTGGCGACACTGTAAATGTCACAGTGCCCAAGGTGGCATTAAAATGCAGCATCAGTGCCATCCAGGCTGTGCGGGCATGTCGCGGTTCATAGGCATGGTCCGTATGGGTGGGAATAGCCCGGCTGTCACCCGGATTCATTGATCTTGCGTGCATCCTAAATACTTAGCTGGGCTGCGAGCTTTCTGATGTCTGCGTTCTTCCATAAGGAAAAACTGCTGGGTGTGGGGGCGTTCTTGAGCGTTAAAGCCCAAATGCCAATTAAAATCTTAGGACTAACTTGGATGCTGGGAGCAGCCCCTGGCTCAGCCATAAGTTTGCTGGATCTTTCTCCCAGTCTGTGCCTTACTTTCCCCGTATGTAAAGCAGGGACGAGGATGTGTGATGCCTGCCTGCTTCAGCAGCACTGTTTCAAAGTCGGTAGCCTTCAACATACCCAGCTCTTGGGGCAAAAACAGGTACTGAAAGGGGACAGGATTGGTAGCTTTTTTCAGCCATGAAAATGTGTAATAACTTCACCGAAGTCAAAGGAAGTTGTAGGAGTCTAATACTGTGATCACAGTCTCAGTCCACATCGATCAGGGGTTTTGCAAAGTGAATGCCACATAGCAGGCATGTACGTGTCTGAACATCCAAGTTGTCTCAACACTTTTTGAGTAGATGGCATGTGGGGATGAGGGCGCTGGCAGACTTTATGACGTTTTCTTCTATTGCTTCTGTTGTGTATTGCTTAGGAAGAACGTCAGTGTTCAGATATCTCAATCTGAGGATGAATCTTGGCCCTGTTTGTTCGGTCCTGCTGGGTTTTCACCCTCTGGTTATGTCTACACATGGATACCCAAGAATCTTAATCTGAATTAATGTCTACAGCAGATTGATTAGACTGATTTAACTTCTGCCTGCGTTCAGACTCGCAGTGGCTTTAATTAACACCAGTTTAATTTGCTTCTAGCCAATTCCAGAGGAAAATAAACTAATGCTACTTAAGCTAAATGAAGGCTGCCTTCATGGGGAATGAGTATCCAGGCAGCTTAGTGCAGTCTAATCAGTCCACCTTAAATTCTCACCCTGTGTTAATTTGGATCAGTTTTCCTAGGTGTCCCTAGATAGGCAAATTTGGCTGGAAAACCCTTTACACTTGGCTAAAATTTGTGAAGTTGATGGGATCTGAACTGTGTTCTGGACAGCCCCAATTGCCTCTGGTACTTTGCATGACAGCACATCTAAAGTACTGACCTGCGTTTGGGCCTCGCTTGGATGTGGGATTACCAGCTACTCATCATTTCTGCCCTTAGCAGCTTCACATCTGAGGAGGTAATAGCGATCCAAATACAGACAATCACTGTTGATCCTTTTAGGGGAGCATTCACATTGTTTGGTTTTGGGTAAAGTTCATCTTAGTGATTCATTAATGGGTTGAAAATCCTTTCTTCTGCTTCCTTTGGTTTAGTTACTCATAAACTCCCCTGTGGCAGAGCTTCAGTGCTGGGTGCCAACTGAAGATGCCAGGTGCTTTTTGGAGGACAGTGGGTGTTGTCCCACTGCCTTTCTGCTGCAGCCTTGCAAGGTTTTGCAAGGCCAGCGAAGCGTAGCCTGAGGCTGCGGGAACCTGTGCTGGTTGTTCAAATCGATGCACTTCTTGCTGCGGCCGGATCTTTAAACTTTGGGGAGGTGTAGTTGGCTGCATTAGTCTGACATCGTGTAGAAAGCAGGGTGGATGTGCACCCTTATACACTAATGAAAGGAGCTTGTGTACACACACACTTTGGTTAGTCTCGAAGGTGCAAATCTACCCTTCTACTTAAAACTTTGGGTCAGAGGTGTGGCAGGGCTTTTTAAATGGTGCTCTTATACCAGTGAAAGCTCCAGTGGGGACCCTGGCAAGCAAAAAAAAAAAGGCTTTTTCCAATCATTTTCATAGATTTTATAGATGTTAGGGTTGGAAGGGACCTCGAAGATCATCAAGTGAAAGCCCCTGCCCCAGGGGAGGAAGTCAGCTGGGGTCAAAGGATCCGAACAAGATAATCAAAGGATCCCGCAAGATAATCAAAGGATCCCAGCAAGATAAGCTCATTTTCATAAGCTCTGCCTGCAAAAGCTTCTTTTTGTGGGAGAGGCCGTCTTTCCACCGGGAGCGTTTGCTGGTCCAGGTTGACCTGCAGAACTATAGCATCAGACCGGAGCGGACTTCTGCCGGCTGTTCAAGGCCACTTTGCAGCGGGCCGTGCTGCGTCTCGGACGAGAAGTGAAGTGAGCGGTTCTGACCGCTGTGGTCAATCAAGGCTGTGTAATATTTATTCGTGTGAGCCACAGCCTCCTGGCCAGGTTTCATCTTAAGCAACTCCCTGCCTCTGTCCATATTTGCAGTTTTGAGTGGATGTGGCTTTTCTTCCCTTGCTAGCCGAAGTGGCTGGGAAGAGCCTCTGTGTGCTGTTTGAGAGCTGTCATTCTCCACCCCAGAGGTGGCTGCATTGCAGCAGTGAAAAAAGCCAGAGAGGTTGGACAAGAGCCCTCTGGAAAGGGAAGACCAATGTTCCTCTTTAGTTATGCAGGAAGGAAGTGAGAGAAAGTGTCTTGGGAGATCAAGACTGATCCAGTCCCTTGTGACTTGATAGACTCAGAGGTTAAATTCAGGAGACCGGCGGGGGGACACAGCTATGTCCGCTCCGAGTAGACAGGACCTCATTGTTCCTAGGTCTCTCTGTGCACAGGTGGTGGTGACAATAGCTCCATTTTGGGTTCACGCTCATTGCCGTGTCTCATTTGACTTCATTAAACTAACGAGCTGCGCTAGTGAAAGCCGCGGTTTCTGCTCAGAGACTGGCTTGACTGGTTCCTCGTGCGTGGTCGTG